ATTAATTGATTTTTGATCTAAGGAGCTCTCTAATTGGTTCTTTTATTTTCGCGGGAATTTGACAAAAATACAAATATTACGATGGATGTAATTGTCGCATTTTGCACAAATATAAATAATAATTATTAATAATTATTAATAATAATAATAATAATAATAATTTAGCCTTGATAAGGATGGAATTTGAAAAATGTACAAGTTCGATATCTCTCTCTCTCTCGTTGGAAATTAAATTATTATATATATATATATATATATATTTATAATATATACAATATAATTTATATATAATAATTTTCAATTCTTAAAATAAAAAACATATGTTTAAAAAAATCTGTAAAATATTTCTGATAGATTACTTAATAGATAAAATACACACACGTATAGTACTACATATGTTATAAAAATATAATCAAGTTATATATAGTATATGATGGATGTGATATAATATTTCTCGCAAATATTTATTATTCGAATAATATTTCAATATATAACAAACACGCGATACTTCAATGAACTTCATTTGGATACTTGAATCATGTTGAAAATCTATTATTTACCGAATAATGATCGATGTCATGATAAGTTTCTTTTGGTTTTTACCGGCAATCAATACGAAGCTTGAAGGACATTCGACTCTTTGCAAATAAGATCGCAATTTACTTATCCTCTTTGTATATTATTTTATTCTTATTTATTTTTCTCTCTCGTTAAATTATGTAATTTTATATAAATGAATAAGAATAAGGTTGAAAAATGTATTATTAAAAAACGAGATTACAATTACTAGAAAATATGATCTTTAATCAAGGATAACTTCTATTGATTATAGTATGATACTTAAACGTGTATCGATTTGTCTACCTTTAAAAAGAAAAACAACTAAATGACAATTTGTATTTTTCAACATTATCATATAAAGTAAACAACAAAACACCGTTCTTCTTTCTTCTGAGAAAAAATTAAATGTGAATCACATTTTTTTTACATTAGCATTGCATACGAAGTAAACATACACACACACACCTTAGTGTTTTAATAAATAAGTATAAAAACAATAAACAAATTAAATATTCTAAATAATAATAATAATAATAATAATACATCAACAACTAACGATTTATATCTCAATGAAAATTCTTTTACATTTGTATGACATATTAAATGCAGGTAGAACATTCACATTCGATTTGTACCAAGCATAAGTTATGGCTTTGATCAATGGTTACTCAGGATTCTATTGAGTTTCTCGTAAGAAACAAAGGCAAAAGAAAAGAAGAAGAAGAAAAAAAAAAAAAGCAAGATTATGCATTGACGTAAACAGTTCGCTTTCTTCGATACTCGTGTTCTACATGAACAAAAATCAACGAGTTTAAGATAGAATTCTACGAATGTTATATAGTCATGAACTTCAACCATATGCCAATATGATTTATCTCGATAAACGACAAAAAATTCCATCGGTTCAATGATTTCTACTGTTAAGTAATTCGCATATGTATATTTTTTCACTTAGATAGTTTTAACTTGCTAATAATTCACTTATGGTTTACAATCTTTCTTTATTTGGCAAGGACCAATTAAATCTGTGCAAAATGTTGGATCCTTGAGTATGGTTACTATTATAAAAGTAAACTTTTACAAACTCGTGATGCATTACGTCAAAATCTTACATATTTCTCTTTATATGTACATATTAACAGAGTGTCTGTAAAAAAAAAAAAAAAAAGTATGAATAATTTGTCTTTATTTCTTTCTATTTTTTGTTTGTTTTTTTGGTTTTATAATTTTAATGCAAGACATGACCCTGACGAAACACTTTTATCTAATCTACAAAGTAACATTTTTTTTTTTTTCTTTACGAGAGAAAAAAGAAAAACAACAATTACGAAGACAGCGTTACTAAAACTTGTATGTTTGCATAAATAGTACGATAATTAAAAACTACCGAATGAAATTTAATTCATTAAAAAAATAAAAATATTTAATGCACTTCCTCCTTCTCCTCCTCCTCCTCCTCCTCGCAATTTAACGAACGGTGTTTGTTTCACATGGTCACTGCGTCATAGGCTTCGTATTTCCTTTGATAAAAACCATCAAGAATTTACTTTAATTTATTCATTACTTTAATAAATGTTAAAGATAAAAAAAAAGAAAAAGAAAATAAAACTATTTTGTAAAAAGTATGAAAAAAAAAAAATTGGAATAAACGAAGCATGGACCATTGTTATCATCATTATGGTATACTAAAGGTACGAAATCATCGTTTGTTAGATTATTTCAACTATCGCGTGTCGAGACAATTGATTGAGTTTAGATTTCGTGACCAATTTATGAAAGCTAGCTAGATGCCAGGGTCGACCAAGTGAAAAACTGGAACTTGCGCAACGTCTGATCACTAATGACCCTTTACAGTGGTCTTTACAAGGTCACAAGAGAAACTTGCATCCAATGTAATGTACACGCGAGACTTTACAATAGGTGTACGAACTGATGTGACTATGAACACATTTTGGATCAATAAAAAAAAAAACAAAAAGATTCTTAATTTCTTGAGAATATATATATATGACATTCCAATCGAAGCTTTCGATGAGATTCTCCATGTTCGGCGTAATATCACTGAAAATATATTCATAGAAATATTTGAATGATTAGATATTACAAAAAATGACCTTTTTTCCATGTCTATGGTTACGTCATTGTAAAATTTTATAAACGTACCATTATTTATTATTGCATTATGTCAATCATATTCAATTCCCCTCTCTATGTGAGCAAATACACTTTCATAGGAGCGCTTATATAATGATTAGAATAAAGTTTCGTGCATGGTTCCCAAGTGGGGAAGCCACTGAGTAGCGGATTTCCTCCAAACATGGGGTGATACTGATAATCGACAATGTGCAATACGCGTACGTTGATGAACATATGACCTTAGAAAACTATATTATATTCTCTCGATGATGAAAAATAAGAATTACACTATTACATCCTTAATAATATTATATTAATACAACGAAAAAACGAATTTTGCAAATTTTTCTAATGCAAATATAAGCATCATGGTATATTTCAGTGCTTGTTTTAAGCAAATATGTAAATACATTACAATTATTGCAATTAAATAACATCTCCGCATTTTTGTTTTGCTCGATGTCCATTAATTACGATTTATAATTCTTCATTTAATTGCTTAGATCATCTCTTTAAATACATTTCAATATAATTATATTGTACAATATACAATAATGCGAAAATGTATAATATTTTTATATCGGGCATTTAAATGCATTTTGTATATTGCTATCGTTACCTAAATTATTATAAATAATTATTACTAAGATAATAGAAACTATATACTTTTTTTTTTCTTTTTAATTTTATATAAGTGTTTGAAAATGCATTGTGTAAATTATATTTTAATTTAATAGAGACGATTTTTTTTATGCAGTATATATAAATATTTATATATATACGAAAGAGATATTATTTGTGCTATACTTTCTACAGAAAATACGAAACATATATAAATAACTTTAAGAGGTATTTAAATGTACAAGGTATTATACAATCATTGTCACCACCTGATACAGCCAACTCTTTAACCCAAAGTATAAGAATTTTTTACATTACATATTTTATAGCAATTTCTCATAGATTCAAAATTTTACAAAATTTCATCGAAGTTATTTCATATCTTACTTTGACTAATTATTTTAAGGACTACCAAAGAGTTGTTCATTTATTTTATAATGTACTATTGCTTGTATGTTATTTTTTTTTTAATTATACATTTGTAGATGGATCAATATAATTTTCAAATTACATATACATATGTAAAAAAAGAAAAAAGTTACTTTTATAAATTCAATCAAATAAATCATGTAATACAATGACTATCGTTTGGTATTACTTAATTACGAAGAGAATAAATCTTCCTTGTATGAAATATATAATTTCATAAATAATATTGAATACATTTAACAATTTAAGTTATATAAAAAATTTGTTGAAAAACTTTCTACGTCGTTTTAGTAATTTTTATCTTTCAATTTTACAATATAAGGAAATTTGAATAATTTAAATTTTCAAAGAACACTTTTATTATATGCTATATCTTATACTATCTCTTATTTTTCTATTTTCATGTTATTATACAAATAACAAAATGAAATTCATACTATTGACTCTGCTGTATATATGTATAATAACATTACAAAAATAAAATTAAATTGTTCAATTTGGAATAAAATTAATTTTATTTTAAACAGAACATTTGCAACTTATTATGACTAATAAGTATACGAAATAGAAAGAAAAATAAGAATAACAGTAAACTTTTATAAATACAGAGAGATCAACGAATAATTAATTACTATTGTGTGAACTATGAAATGATATTATTATTATTATTATCCTCACTAAAATATGATGTAATTTTCAATGTTTTCCTTTTTTTATGTTATGCTATTGCAAATGTGTAACAATAATTAATTATCAATAAATCACGCATATTTTTGTTACTAATCGAATATCTTAAACTGCAATGCACTTAAAAATAAGCATATATATTAATATAAAATTTAATAGTAAAGCCTGTGCAATAGAGTTGGCTGATTTGAAATTTTTTTTTTATATTACTTTAAGTCATTTTCTCCTTAAAAACCACTGTAAAATCATTTTCTTTTTACGAGCAATGAAATTATTTTTAGATTTTAAAATACATATAAATATATATTAGTAAAATGATTCAATCTTTAAAAAGAATTTTAATAATATTAAATATACGTTTTTAAATTGACTAATAAAAAAAAAAAAAAAAAAAAAAAAGTAATTTTAACTAATGAATTATTCTGCAAAGTGTAATGAACTTTCATGTTACTTGGAAGTTTGATCATTTTGAAGAGAACCTACAAAGATTATTCATAATATTTGATAAAGATATAAATATATGATAAAACATGATATAAATTATTTGTTTTGAAAATTGATTAACTGAGATATTTTAATTAGTGGAAGACTCATGAATATACAATTTTCATCAGATTTAAATTAAAAATGGATCTACTATATTCTGTCAACAACACTTGGTATAATAATAACCTAAATTTGTTGCTATAAAGAAATATATCGTCGAATATTTCATACAAAAACGAAGAAAATCTAAATGAATCATCATCTTTTATCTAATGACATTAAAATGAAATGTTTTTACTCAAAGTACAATGCATCTTATATTCTGAAGTTTATTTAGTCCGCTGGATAATATGAATACCGCTATCTGTATGGACAGGAGAAGATAATTCACCAACTTTTAAAGCAAACGCTGCTTGCTCGAAGGGTTTCTGCATGGTCCCTCTAGAGAAAGGACCCAAATCCCCTCCCCGTTTAGCTGAACTGCAATCACTGTATTTTAAAGCAAGTTCAGCAAACGTAGCTTTTCCAGATGCTATTTGCTCTCTGTACGCTAAGTATACAGAAAATGTATAAATAAGTTACAATATATTTTTCATTGATAAAACATTCGATATATCTAAATATTAGATTATTAGGTTATCGATATTAAAGTTATATACATAAAAACTCACATTTGATTAAATCTAAAGCTTCTTCTTTTGACCTAGTTATATTTTCTTCTCGCCAAGAAGATGGTCGCCTAGATCCTGAATGTTTTACCAAAAGGTGCGAACACTGAACTTCCTCTGAACGATTTCCATTACCATTACCAGAAGGATCTGCTGGTTTATCAGGTCTATCCCACTGACTTTGTTTGGAATATATGTTCAAATAATAATGTTGACCTGTATAAACAATGTTATACTTATATTGCATGTCATATGATAGTATGTTATCTATTATATTTAGTAATCATTCATTTGAAATCTATAAAATAGAAATATACCATATGACAGTAACAGTTATAATTAAAATGATAAATGAAATACTTCAAATATTCCTTAAATAATATCATACTTTATTATAAGTATTATTTGTAATAATGTTTTCTCACATGTATTTCACATTTTATCGTCAAACGATAATTCAACTAAAATCATTAGCATATCCATCGTTGAAATTTTTTTTCTCTAATAAAACTTCATAGAATTATTGAATTATATCTATTATCAATTGAATCTAAATATGTATATAAAAAAAATATATAATATTTACTGCAATACATAAAAATTAATGCAACATTTGATTGATCGTCTAAGAAATATTGGAAAAATGCCGGCCGCCCATCTGATGCAACTTAAAAAGTAGTACATCAAACTATTATTAAACTTTATAAATATAAAACCTATTATAATATTAAAAAGAAAGATTACCTTGCTATCAAGACAAATCATTAAAAATAAATGTAATTTACCAGTAGATCTACTGAGACGTTTTTCCCAGCCCGCTGGAAGTTCTTCGTCCGCCATGGTTGTTAAAATTTGGTTGACTTGTATGATTATTTCTTCCCTACACGATTTCACGTCAAACACAACGCTTACCTAAAGTATACATAAGCACTCTACCAACATATGAATATTACAATCTAACCTAACTACAGCTATCGTAATATCCAATAAGAAATCAGAACGTCTTCATTCATTGGTATTTATTTTGACCAATGAAAACATTGATTTTCATTCGCGCCAAAGTGATTACAATTCAAATCATATTTTATTCTAAATCTATTTTATTATAAACTAATTTCAATTGTACTTTATCAAATCGTACACATACAAGGTTACAATGTTTACATTATTTGAAATGTATAATTAAATATTTTCAAATTAACCTTCATAATACTGTAATTAATTATTTACTTTTATTGATTAATTTATCATTTGTCATAGCAACCAAATACAAACGTTTAGTCGAAGTATTACAAGAGAAGAAGACACTAGAGTTACAATTAAAATACTTTTTACAACAATTAAAAAGTATTTAAAAACTACAAAAAAATTAAAACGTTGATAAACATGATGATTGACAATATAGATGATATTTTAAAAGATTTAGGATGGGATGATGGATTTCGAATACCAGTTGCTAATGAAGAAAATAAGAAACTTGAAGAAGAAGTAAGTAATTTCTAAATGTATATTTTTTATTCTTTTTAATTTTTCTATTATATTCTATTATATATTTAATTGAATTTTAGATCGAAAAGAAAACAAAATACAAGATTACCTTACACAAAAACTTGGAATCTATGGAAGAACATTTAAAGATGATTAAAAAACATGCTACTAATATAAAAGTTCAACATAACATAAATCAAAATATTCTCACAGCACATTCAGCATTATTAGAAAAAGAAGATCATTTATATAAAATAAGCAATAGTACAGAATCAAATCTTCGTCAAGAAATGCGAGATTTTACTAAAACTTGGAATGATGTAAATGAAAGAGTATCCAACATAGAAAAAGATTTAACTAAAATAACAAAGAAAATAGAAAATTCTAAAAAGGCAGTCAAATTTGACGAGAAGGATTTATCAAGATGGGAGGAAGTGTTACATAAAAAAGAAGAAGATAATGAATTGATAGAAGAATATATGAAACAAGATACAAAAAAATATAAGGTAATAGATAATAGATATATTAGATAATGTTACAGACATTATATGAGAATGAGAGTTTTATTTTTATTACAGGAATTAGAACAAAAACGTCAGAAACTAAGTATAGAATCAGAATCTTATCAACGAGCAATAGTTAAAGCAGTTAACGAAGCACAAGAAATGGAAATAGCTTTAGATAGAACTGTTAAACTTTATGATAAAGCATTAAAAGAACGACGACAAATGATAAACCAATGGACACAAAGTGTGGCTGTGTTGAGACAAAGAGATAATAATATACAAGCTAGTTTAAGAGTACGATAAAATATTATTTTGTTAGATCCTATAATTTCTATAGATATATATTATTTTGAATAATTACATTTACAGGAATTAGAAACACTTCGTGAAATTGGGAAAGATAAGATGGATCTTCTACATGAAACAGAACAATTTTTGAATGATCAAATTTTAAACAATAAACAACTTGAAGAATCAATTAAAGAATCGGAAAAGAAACTTGTTAGTATAAAAGACGAGAATCGTAAGATTGTGGATACAATTGGTACGTATGAATTTGAGGTAAGACAGAAAGTAGATTATAAAATTATTAAATAAATGAAATGATACATTTCACATATTTATTATTGGTAATAGCATCGTACTAAGAAAAAGGATATGGAAAATTTGGGTCGTCGTATGCAACAAATAAGAATGGATGTAAAACGTAAGAAGAATGATATAGAAAATAAAATAATCAAAATGAAAGATTGGAAGAAACGAATCGAAGATTTAAAAATGACCTTAGATGAAATTGATGATAAAAAATTAAATGTTGAGGATAGAACAAAACAATTAGAAGAAATGATAGAGGTTTGTAATTTTTTTTTTTTTTATATAAAATTGATACAATTTGAATAATAATTTTATTTTTAATGTTTCTCAAAAGGAAGAAGAAAAACGTAAATCCAAAATAATGAAAGAGGCAAGTCGTTTGCAAACATTAATTTTACGTACTGGAAAAGAAATTTCCAAATTAAATAATGAAAATAAAACTCTGGAAGTGCAAAATAAAAATGAAAGAAAAAAATATGAATTATTATTAATCAATTATGAGAAAGAGAACAAATTATTGGAAGAGAAGAAAGAATCATTGTATCATGTTGAATTTATGGTACAGAAATGTGAAATAAAATTAGATCGTGTTAAAGGACATGAAAAAGATCAAACAGAACTTGAGAAGAAACAAAAGACAATTGAAGATTTGGAAAATGTATTATCAGAGAAAATGAAAATAGCTAAATTGTTAAAAACACAAATTACAAGTTTAGAAGTGAGTATCATATTTATATACTGATATAGATTGATTTTATTTTTAATTTAAAAACTAATCATCTTTATACGAATCAGTACGATAGAAGAAAAATTTCCAACAGTATAGCAAATGATACTGAAGAATTAGAACATTTAAAAAATAAAAAACAAGATCTTCTATTACTCGTGGATGGTGGTGAAAAAACATTGAAAGCAGCACAGAGTCATAATGAAGAAAGACAAGTGGAAGAAAATATATTACGTTTAAAAGTTTCACAAATTGAACAAATGATGTCCAACGTTGGAGATAAAGTTTATAATTTGCAAAAATATAGACTTAAATTAGATGCTGTGAGTGAGAAATTTCAAAAACTAATTTCCCAAAATAATCTTTAAATTTGTATTAAGTATATAATACATATAAAGATGATTAATTCTTACAATATTGTCAACAGGCATTGAGAGAACGTGAAGAAGAAATTGCAGTACAGAAAGAAGCACTTATGATACAGAAAAGAGTTGTAGCAGCTGAATGTTCACAATTACGTAATGCTATTTCTGAAAGAAGGAATCGAATAAAACAATTACAAGCACGATATGACAGTGGTATTGCTGTTTTTGGCAATAATACTGATGGAACAACCATTACTACAACTTATCTTAAAATTCAAAATGCTCAAGAAAGGTATCTTTTACAAGAACAAGGTGATAAGCTTGATGAAACTATAAGAAAGACAGAATCTGAAATAATTGGTATAGAAAACACATTGAGAATAGTAAATGCTTGTAATAGTAAATTCAAAAGTAATTTGAGTACAGTCGACGAAACTGGACCAGATCAAGAAGAACAAAATAAACTTGATGAACAACTATATAAGGAACGAGAAAATCTAAAAAAAAGACAACTGCATATGAAACATCTAATGGAAGATTTTCAGGTATGTATTCAAAATGAATTATATAAAAGAATGAAATAATCGTTTTAATAAAAAATATATTATGTATATAGAAGATGCAGAATAATTATACTTTGTTACTTGATGACATACAAAGAGCTAAAGACGAGAAAGATAACAAGGAACAACAGCTTTCTAATCTTAATAAACAAATAGCTGAACAAGATGAGAAAATATCGAGAGCTGAGAAGAGTCTTCGAAAAGTTAATCGAGACATACAAAACAAGTGTACTTGCATTGATGATAGTTTGATACTTCTACAGAAAGTATGTTGTATACATTTATATATTGAAAACTCTTTTAAAAATGAATAATGCTTTTATTTCTAAGAAAAACAATCTTTTTTAGAAAGATGCACACTTGCGGGAAGTCCAAGAACAAAATGCATTGGCTCTTGAAGATATTGCAGAATTTACAATTCGCCATATAGAAGTAGAACCTTATATAAAGAAACTCTTAGCAGCCAAGAACATACAATTACCTTGCATTTGTAGATTAGTAGATCGATCACCTGCAATAACTCGTTGTGGAAGTACTACAGAATCAACTGAATGTATAATTAAAAGTACTAATCGTACTAGTGCTTTTCCTTCTTCAAGGGAAAGTATTAATAGCATTATCACATTGGAACCTTGTTTCGATAATTGTAAGTAATACTATGTGTTATTTACAAATCTATAAGAATTCATATTTATAATTTTATTATTTCAGTAAGCAATTCATCACAGAGAAGTAACTTAGCAAGAAAAAATCTAAAATGTGATAAACCATCAACAAAAGCTAAAAAATAAGTGATACTATGTAATGTCATACTCTTAATAAATTATTTATATGTCTATACATGTAACGAAATGTTTCTATATTAAAATATTGTTTTTTTATTAATAAAATGCAGAAGGTGGTAATAATTCTATCCTACTTGTTGATGAAGACATTGATTTATCATTACACAAAGAAATAGAATATAAATTATTATTTGTACTATTCATAAATAAAATGTCTTGTTCATTTCTATAGTTTTCTGAAGAGAGAGAAAAAGATGGCACAATTATAGATGCATTATTTTCTTCAATGCTTTCAAATGAATGATTTTTTACATTATCCTTAATGTTTATATATTTCATTTCTTTGAAATTAACCACCGATAACCATTTATCAAAATATTTACTTAATATTTCAAAGTCTTCTACAAACTTTAATGTTGTATTTTTTATTCTATTTTCACGATGAAATTGCATAGTAAGTAAAGAATATTTTAAAATTTCTTTCAATCCTTCTTGTAAGAAAAACTTCTTATTTATATCTTTTGCATATTCAATATCCCTCTTTTTAATTATTTTTTGATTTATGTACTTTTTCCAAAACACAAGATACTTTTCTTGAATTCTCTTATGTACAACAGAAATAATTAGCTCTTCTTTTTTATACATTTTATAATTATTTTCACATTTTAATTTCCATATCATAATATATTTATTCAAAAGAAAACACGAAGCACGTTCGTTTAATTCCTTTTTTTGTAATAATTTTAATTTATGTCGTTGAGAAAAGAGTTTCCACAAAGAAAAATATTGTCTAGAAATATAATTATTGTACGATTCAATGGCTAAGAACGTTTTGTGCTTTTCTTGCATATGCATATTTAATATCTTATTCCATTTTTCTATATACATTTTTTGTATCATAGTAATAATACTAATCGTTCTATTATTCAAATTCAATATCTGCATATGCTTTCTTTTTTTATATAAAACATAATCTTGCAATTTATGAAATGCATTAGTCAAAATTTTAATATGATATCTAGTTAAACATTGAACAAATTTTCTTCTAGTACATTTCTTACGAAATATGTACAATTTCCAATAAACAATAATTTTTTCTTTCAATTTATTTTCCATGATTTGTTGTATTTTATTCATAATATTGCACATTCTTAAGAATTGATGATACCATTGTATCCAAGCATTAAATGTTTTAGTTATAATTTTAGATTCGTAAAATGTATTGCTCATTTCCATTTTTCTTTTATCGACATGAACTTCATAAATGTACTAAAAATAATATTTAATACATTAATGTATACATAATTATTGTATAGCTGTATAATCTAAATCAAGATTATATAATATTAAAAATACCAAAACAAATTGTTTCAAACATTTTTTAAGTAATCTTTGATTATATTGTTGATCAGCTCTTTCTTTTAAATATTTTGTTTGCACTTTTGCATGACAATATGCTCTCCACATAGAATAAGATTTGTTCAACATTTTTTTATTATAATAACAGACCACCATTTGAAATTGTTCTTTGCAAATTTTAGTGTGACTATGTACAGTTATCCATTTTATAAAATATTTATGTAATAAATTTGAATTATATAATTTACAAACCTAATAATAAAAATAAAATGTATAGAATCATTATTAAAGAAAACAAAAAAATAATCTTACATATTACCTTATCAATTAATTGATTTTTTAACATATTTTGTTCTTTTCTATGTAGAACAAATCCTTTCCAAATGTTTATACATTTTTGTAGATATTTTTTATTCAATCTTCTATTCATTATTATAATTTTTATATATTTTATCCATAATCTATAGTATCGTCTTAGCATTACTTTGTTATAATGTTCATTACATTTAATTATATTTTTAGATAAAATATTGAATACGTTTCTTTTAAGTCTTACACGATAAATATGATTTATTTCACATATAGCTTTTCTTCGACGTAATTTATAAATTGTATAAATTTTCCAAGATTCCAAATATTGTCTTAGAATTAATTTTGTACGAAATGTTGTAAATTTTTCATCGAGGTTATCACTTTAATTAAAATTACTTTAAAAAAATATAATATTCTTTTGTATATTTGAATTATAAAAAGCATTACTTACTTTGAAATAATATTTCTAATATTAAACTGATTTTCTTGACAAAGAGAAGGATAATATTCCGATTGATAATCATAATTCAAAGATTTGCGTATTAATGGCAAATATTTAAACCAACTACGCAAAGATCGTAATTCTAAATTACGTGCTGTATATTTATCTTTTATGGATTGCATAATGATTAAAATCTTAAGTAAAAACAAATTAATATTTATTATGTTTCTTAATATAAGATGATACTGTCAAATATGAAATTGAATTAACGCGGGCATGAAAATGTTTCGCGCGAAAATTTGAATTGTTCATTGATCAAATTCATTCAAGTTATACTATTGAATGGAAAAATATTTTCTCTCTCTATATATAATAGTTATTCATCGGCGTATTTTTGAACACATGTTTTGACGTACTCTTGTTGGGAAAATTGGCGAAAATCATGCAACTATTCTGATTGGTTAGACGAATTCCTTTGACGGAAGGTCACTGTTAAAAACTAATGAATTGTAAGTGTTTGATTCTAAAGTTATAATCCCTTGCAATATTTCTGATAATTAATAACCAAAAAATATTAAAATATAAAACAGACTAAAGGTATAAGTTTATTACAATTATTAATTACTACTATTCACGTTAAATCATTAATAGCGTAGCTATTACTATTACTAACATATAAATATAGTTAATGGTGTATTTTTCTTTTTATTGTAGATGTAATTAACCAAATTATTTTTTATTTTCTACATGACATCAATTACGTTTCCATACAATTTTATATTTTCATTTTAATTAATATTTCATCATATAACCTATACCATTGGCATCAAGTAATAAATTATAACTATTAATATATTTTTTATGTTTAATATTTAAATCAAATTAAAAATCCATTTAGAAATATTTTTCCTTAACTATAAGTAATGCTTTTTATTTTACATTATCTACTACTCTTGCACAAAAATAATCTATTCAAAAATATTCCATGATTTTTATCAGTAAAAATTTAACATTACTAATTTCAGATACAAAATAATGATGTAATAATACTGAATATGTTAGTTTATTAAAACATCATGTCAGATAATAGATTTATACTTCGTTCCTATGGATTTGATAACCATGGCAGATTAGTAAATCTTGAACCTGGTGAACAAAATTCCAATATATATGATAGACGTCTTCCATATATAGAAGCAACTTTGAGAAGATTCAGTGAAAACGTAAGGCCTGTCACTGGTTCTAATAATGGTAAGACGATACTATTAAAAAAGAAATATTTATATAGAATTATAAATAAACAGAAATTGTTCATTAATTAATAGTAATTAAAATTAATTATTGTTTTTTTTTCGTATAGAAATGCATGAAGAGCAAACAATAGCAATGTTACCGACTGAAGAAACTAATTTTCCAACTTCTGTGACTAATTCAAGTGATCCTGTACTTTCCATTGACGCAACTGATGGATCATCATCTCCTAGTCAAGAATCTAATATTCAAACTTTAAATGTAGAAGACGAGTGAGTGTCATATTTTATTATTTATATCATTTAATGTTTATTAATAATAAAAGAGTTGAATTTATAATAATAGACAAAAAATATTAAGATTTATCTGAGTTAATATCTAAAAAAATATACTATATGTTGTAGTAAGAGATATTGTTGGGTTTGTTTTGCAACGGATGAAGATGATGCTACTGCATCTTGGGTTAAACCATGTCATTGTCGAGGTACAACAAAGTGGGTTCATCAAGGTTGCATACAACGTTGGGTTGATGAAAAACAAAAAGGTCGTGCTGGTGCACATGTAGCTTGCCCACAATGTAATACAGAATACATTATTGTTTATCCAAACATGGGTTAGTATAATATAATTATAATAATTATATTAAGTATTCAGTAAATGATATAAATAATTCATTTTTTTAGGGCCATTGGTTGTAATACTTGACACTATTGACGGAGTTATTTTTCGAGTATGTCCATTTATTGCTGCAGGCATAGTAATTGGATCTATATATTGGACAGCAGTCACTTATGGGGCAGTAACAGTTATGCAAGTAGTTGGTCATAAAGATGGTTTAACAATGATGGAACAAGCTGATCCTTTGGTATTATTAGTTGGCTTACCAACTATTCCAATTATGCTAGTTTTGGGAAAAATGCTTAGATGGGAAGATCAAGCACTTAGCCTTCTTAGACGACATGCTTGCAAAGTTCCTATTCTAAGGCATTTCTTACCTAGTAGGTAAGTGTTCTAGCAAATGTTATATTTATTTATCAAATAAGAATACATTTAGAAAAGTAAATTTAAAAAAAAAGAAAATTATATGTTTGAGAAAAAATATAACTTTTATAGTTATTCTGATGATGATAGAACGCAGTCATCAGATGTTCCACCAATGAGTGACCCTGTATCTGCAACTCGTGTCCTTTGTGGAGCACTTCTTTTACCAACTATTGCTAGCATATGTGGAAAAATATTCTTTGAAAGTGTACATTCAAATTTTCAAAGGACGTTACTTGTATGTATAAAATATATATATATATATATTTTTTATTTACATATTTATTATAAATTGAAGTTCTTATGTATTAATATTGTTTGAAATAATTTACAGGGTGGTATGGCGTTTATAGCCATAAAAGGTGCGTTTAAAATATATCATAAACAGCAGCAATATGTGAGACAATGCCAACGTCGCATAATGGATTATACAGATAGTAATGTAGCATTATACAAAAGAAAGCAAAGTTCAGGAACTCAAACTAGCTAAATCAGAAAATGTGAAAAAAAAATTATAATTGGAAAACAGTATCATTTTACAGATTGAAGCTACCCTTCATGTATTTGTTTTTTCTTTTCATTTTTTTTTTTTAATTTTTTAACAATTTTTTTTCTTTTGTATATTGAAATATTATTACAAAGTTTTAAAAATAATCACTATTGAAATATAGCAGACACAATGAACATAAAAAATGATATAAATGCATCTTTTAAATTACTTTAACATAATATGATTTCATTCTGAGCATCTATAAGTACTAATATTTCAAATGTTACCTAAATAATTATAGATGCATTTTTAATTTTTGAAATAATTTTAAATTACAGTAAAAGTAAATGTGTATCGTATAAATAACTTTTATTTCTTATATTAAGTAGATTTAAAACATTTAATAAAATGGAATCAAAGTTAAATGAGAAACTTTATAAATTTTCCTTGGAAATTTTTATATTCTATAAATTATAATAGCTAGGTATGCAAAATTATGAAAAATTATCTTATTATTATTATTATTTTGGTTATTATTATTGTTATGGTACATATTCCATAAATTGTCAATAAAAAATGTACTTAATAGACAAATTTTTATTTAACGTGAATATTTGACTGTATAGTCTATGGAGTGAAAGTTGACCTCAGATTCTTATACAACGTTATAATTGTATAATTCTTCCTCTTATCATGTATACTTATTGTTATTACTTAACAAACATTTTGTAATATGCCATGATTTCAGATTTTCAATAAAACTTTTTGAATTAAGATTTTTAAAAGAAATAAAAGTTTTACATTAATATGTTCAACAATGTTAAATACTGTATAATTAAATTGAAGTTTAGAAGAAATTATTTACAAAAGAAAAAATTATATTTTTTAAAGAATATAGGAAAATATAATTGATTATTCAATTTTCTGTATATGAACTAAAAATCAATTAACTAAATAATTGTTGAGTATATATCTTGAGGAAAATACTGTATTTAATTAATTAAATATAATATTTTATTGATCTATAAGTACCTAACCATTCATTAATATAATGTAAAACCTACAAAATTATATGATACAGAAATTATACATAAATTTCAATATTTTTTGACAATCTGTCTTAAACATACTTAAATGTATTTCTTATCTAAATAGGATTTACATTTTGTTCTCATAAATAGCATATTTTTTATTATTCTTATACCATATCTGTAAAACAAAAAAATCTTACATTTCTACTTTCATTTTGTACTTTATAAAAAAACAAATATTATTTGCGATATAATGATAAATTATTTAAAGACTCTATTTCAATAATAGATAATTACTTTGGCTTATTAATAATATAATAAAAAATATGCACATATCCATCAATTATAATATCTCTTTTAAACTGACTATATAAAATTATATAGTTATAAATAAAATAAAAATAATGTAACCACATAAAAGTGTAAAAAAGAAGATTACAAAAATTATTTTTTATCAATATTTAGCAATAATTTGTTTCTATATCTATATTTATCTTTACTTATTGAATATATTTCTTTTGAAAGTACATATGTGTATATAAATATATATATATATATACAAACACATTTCATTTCATTTAAAATTAAATGAATAAAAATAATGTTGTTTACAATAACATTAATGGAATAAATTATATTTATACACAAATACTATATTAAAGTAAATGCTATTAATATACAGAAAATACATACTTCTATAACTTAAAAAACGTGACACAGGAAAATGCATACAATTATCACATCAAAGGTGGTCCTGTATATTTAAGATTATACGAATAAAAGCCTGGTGTTTTATCTGTAGCTAGCAATCGAACTTCTTGAATAAGATCACCTGAATCCGTGTAAGGTTTCGAGCTAACTGTTTTGAAAAAAGTACATGGTCGAGTTCCTTTACCAGAATCATCTACGCCATAAGGAGGACTAAGTATATCTAAAAATGCAGCTGGCCCTTCTATGCATTTAATCTCATGCAAATTTTTATCCTGTGGTGTGAGCACACAAGCAGGAGAATTCTTATGGAGTATTATAGGTCGGTGCCTAAATGCTTTAATCTCTTCATTCATATTTATATGATCACTGTTGTTCTTTAAAGTAAAACTGTTTATTTCAACAGTACCACTGATTACCTAAAATATTTAATTGTATATATATATATATATATTATCTCTTTATATAAATTATTTAATTAATACTTTAAGATATTTTAATTCTTAATATTGGAAGAGTTATAGAAAAACAAAAGTAACAACACTACATTTATAAATGTAAATATCTAAATGTAAAGTATATGTAATAAATGTACCTTTAAAAAGCCATGCATTCCTGGATGATCATGCATAGGCATTGTAACCCCGTGTTTTAACATAAAGATTGCAATAGTCATATCTTTATTTTCAAAAAGAACAATAACACACATTGGTGCAGGTTGTAGCTTTACAAAATCAAGAATTTGTTTGTCTACCTTCACATCTTCCGCCGTGATTTTATTGATTAAACTCCACAAATGATCAAAATTTTGTTGATACAGTTTATAACCTGCATTTTTTCTACTGCCAAATGTTTTTAATGCTTGTTTCCATAATATTTGTATTGCGGAACTCATGATAAAATAAAGTTTAAAAGGATCACTCTTGAAATAATTGTTTTAAACGAGTTCTATTTATTTTTCAACAAATTCCCATAACCATATGTACATCTTGTTAAAAAATATTCTTTTCTATTAATTCTTACAAACAATCTGTAAGTTTATCGAACGAATATCTTTAAACGAGTCTAACAACACTAGTGAATATAATGTTTCACAAAGAGGTTAATCAAATTAAATATGAATGTAAAGATCTACTACTATTGCTATTATCGACAATAACATTGGATAAATAATTTCAAAGAATGAATAATAATACATCACTTCACATTTTTCTTCCTTGTTCAAAACATTCTTTTCATTGTTTCATACGATTATTTGTGTGATGTATTTACATAAATAAAAAACAAAAAAACAAAAAAGAAATATAAATGTTACTACGGATTCTACAATCTGATTGGATACTATCATCAGTATCATTCATAAATCAATTAATGCAGAAAATACGTCATATGAAATATTTACCAGTATTTTTCTCTATAGTATTTTTTTAGATATATATTGTGGATTCTTTAAATATTAAAAAATATATATTTATATATGTATAATTATGTATAAATATGTATTTAAATCGAAGAAGAAAAGCAATATGGCATAAGCTTACCTTAGATTTTTTCTTCTACATTTATCGTAGTTAGTAACCTGACCACCAGTGAACGATAGTAGGTACTTAACGCGATGACGGTACAATACTATCAAGGAATACTATATTCATTGATAAAAAACATTCTTACTATATTTTTGAATGAATAGTATATTCATTGAATAAATATTATATTCATTGATAGAATATTCTTACTATATTCTTGAATGAATATTATATTTATTGAATAAATACTATATATTCTTTAATAGTATATATAGTACACCTATATTAGGATAGAATTTTAAATAATTATATATAGTTTTTCGAATATAAATATATGCGTGTGTGTGCCTTCAGAAATGCCATTATATGTAAATATAATTAAAAATGAAACAGTTATAGGAATTCAAATAGAAGAAAATCACAAAGGTGTTTGTTGTTAAATCCAACGATGATCACCTGTAACAAAAAGAAAACTATATTAATTATAGAATCAAGTGAGATACATAAGCCTGACATATAAATCGTCCAATTCGTAGATGCACTTTTCAAATTGAATTCTCTATTTATTATAATGAAATCTCTATTTAAAATTGCAATAAAATTGAATTTGAAATAACGCCTTTAAATTAACAAAAAATAAAAAAAATGAAAAAAAATGAAAAAGCAAAAGTACAAATATTAAGTTATTAGAGAAAATAATATCTACTAATTATTATAACTAATACTTTTAAACTGCATTATATAGAAAAGAAAAAATTACAAAAGTGAAAAATATTAAAGACAAAAAAAAAAGAGAGATTACTTTAATATTCAAAAGACGATAATAAGGTTTCAAAATGTAATAAAAAAGGAATTTAAATATTCTGATTCGAACTAATTAAACACATATGCATCTTTTTGACGACATAGACACGCATCTGGTGTCCCAAGGAGATGGAATGGTCCATCATCTCCAATTACAACTAGAAATTAATGACGAGCAAAAAAGTAAAACAATAAAATATAAAATATGACTAGAGAGCCATTCTC